ATTATTATTATTATTATTATTATTATTATTATTATTATTATTATTATTATTATTATTTTCATTGAATCAAATAATGTCAATATTAATAATAATATTGTTAATATTATTAATAATACGATAATATTATTTGATTACTATTATTAGTAATCATATTTTTAAATAATTGAATATAAATAAATCCGGAAATTTTCGACACCTCACAAAATAAATCCACTGTTTTGTAAGTAATACCGATTATTTATCGATAAGAGATAAATGTTTAAAGAAATATTAACGCGACGTTGTGAATTCGTTCACTAGATTGTCCAGAATAATTCTAAGAGAAATTTGATTTCTCTTTCCTGTCATTCAGACTTTAGTCAGCAGTCGATTTTTTTGCAAGTTCAGCTTTATTTCAAGAACTGTTTAACTCTTGTAGTTTGTTTTGATGATAACAGAAGACAGTAATAGGGGGAAAAAAAAAGTTGAGACTGATAAGTTTAGGAATCCGGGAATGTGGGGAATCTCGAGGATTCGCCAGAGGATGATGAGACGAATAGAGCAGATGATAAAAAAATAATTTATGTGAATATAATGAAAAAGATAATGAAATTGATTAATTAATTGATGAATTCTTCCAGGAAGAGCCAGGGGCGACGTCGACACGACGATTTCTACAACAATTAATGACTCGCTGCCCCCGGAGACGCCGTCATCGCGATCGGTGCGAAGTCGTCGCCTTAAGGATCCAGAAGTGGTGGATTCTCCAGAGCCGCTGCGTCGTACCCGTCGCACAGTGACCGAATCCCTGGAGATTTCCCTGAACACGACAGTGGGTCGTAGACGAGGCAGAAAGCCCAAGATCTCCGACGACAAATTGAGTGAGGATGTCTCCGAGGAAGTGGTTCCACCCTCCCATGGGAAGAAACGAGAGGCCCGAGGAAAGAGGACAAAAAATCAGAAATCAGAGGAGAAACGAGAGGAACCAGTGATTCCACCTGAGAAGCTTGAAAATCCTCCAGACAGTGACGACAACGAAGTGGCGAATGTCTCCTCGACGATGTCCAAGTCAATCCCCCAAAATCGTCGCTTCCGCCAGCTTCGGGGTAAAAACAACTCACCGAACAACGTAACCCCCGAGAGTTCCCCGATAACTGTCATCCTGACGCCCCACAGATCGACAAAAACCCCAAGGAAGTCCCCAGTGAGCCTGGGCTCCCCCAAGAGCCACTCGCTGTCCCCCCGACGTCTCTCCAAGACGCCAAGAAAGCTCTCGGTGATTGCAGCATCCCCAATACCCTCAGACAACTCCTCATCCAACGGGACCCCCAGCCAGCCCTCAAAATCACCAGTGAAAACACCAAAAACATCCCCAAAGCCCTCAAAATCAAAGAATCGCACGACACTCCACTCCAAGACACCGAGGATCGTCCTGAAGAAGTCAAAGACCAAGAGTCCGTCCTCTGTTCGTTCGTCGAGGGTGAAAAAGTCACCGAAGAAGCCAACGACTCCAAAAACTCCTCCAATCATCGATTCTGAGGATTCCAGGTCTAAAAAATCCCCAGGAACACCTGAAAATTTTGTCGCTGAAATTCCAAAAGTCAAAAAATCCCTGAGAACGCCAGAAATTCTCGACGTCGACTCTCCAACTGTGAAGAAATCGCCAAAAACTCCAGAAGTCGTGAACCTCGAAAAGTCAAGATCTCCCCAGGTGATTCTGGAGAGGATTTCCCCGCAGGACTCCCCCCAGGTGTCATCCCCGAAGTCCCCAAGACTGACGTCTCGCCTCCACAGTCTGGCAAAGGGAGATGTCCGCTCGTCAACCCCTCGTGAACGAGCACGAGAGATTCACGAGGCCCTTAACATCTGCGCAGAGTCTCCCCTGAACGTCCACAGGTTCTACGGCTCCCCCCAGGACGCCGCCAAGTTTCTTTTCCTCGAGGACGTGTCAAATCCACTGATAAATGACTCGTTTGGGATCAGTGGGATAAAGCCAACGGAGGAGGAGGAAGAGGAGAAGAAAGAGGAGGAGGACGAAGAGAAGGTCGACGACAGAACGAACAGCATCCACAGGAACAGCACTTACGAGCTCCTGGAGCCGAGGACACCGAATTTGAGGAACAAGAAGTACCAGGGGGATGGGACGTACGAGCTGGACGAGCCCAAGACCCCAGGACTCCTCAAGAGCACGAAAAAGAGGAGTCTGGAGGGTGGAGAGTCACCTGGGGGCTCCAAAAGGGTCTGCAGAGTGAGATTCGCCAGTCCTGGGGTGCGAACCCCCAAGAAGACCCCGAAAATCGTTGTCAGGAGTAGATCTGCTACTCCAAACTCCCAAATCGTCAAGAAGAGGAGCCCCACTGGCACCAATTGCCTGAAGAGGAGATCCATTTCAATGTCGAGTCTCATCAAGTCTCCCGGGTCTGCCCTCAAGACTCCAGGTCCTGAGGCCAGTGGAAAGTGGACGCAGAAGGCACAGAACGAGTCCACCAGTCGACTCAGCAAACCAAGGGCTTCGATTGTCCCTGGGGAGACTGACAAGAAGAAGAAAGCCAACTCCTCTGCCAAGAAGGCACCCAATTTTGCCCAGATCCATCAGAAGAAGTTCGAGAGGATGGAGTCTCTTGTTGATGCTAAGAAGAGGCTTGAGCTCAGGCACAATACACTCACCAGCTCCAATATTGGGAATATCAAGGGCGAGGATGAGGTCAAGGCTAGGATCATGCAAGAGCCCAAGGCTAAGATCATACCCGAGCCCAAGGCTGGGTTCAACAGATTTGGATTTAAAATTCTTGGACCGGAGAAAAAAGCTGAGGGATACAATCGGTTTGGATACAAGCTGAGGAAGGAGGAAGCGACGAAAATCGTGTCCAGACCCACCGCTGCCAAGATCGAGGAGAGGAAGGAAGTCAAGAGGATGGCGCTCAAAGGGGTCAGGACTAATAAACGATTTGAATTGTTGATGAAGTCCAGGAATATGAAGTGAGACAATTCGATGTAGACGAAATAATTCGGTGGTAATTTCATTCTCGTCGTTTTGATTTCTCCACCGATTTTTTGGGATTGAGTTTCTTTTTTTGATTAGTTTTGAATTTTTATTGAGAACATCGACTGGGTTTTTTAGATTTTTAAGAAAGGCCATTTATCGTGGTAGTCCTTTGAGGAATGAAAAAATCTTTTTTATCGGGAATCCGATTTTCTACTGATTTTTTT